CAAGCTAATTCCCATAAATTTATTAAAATTGGAATTTGTATGACACATGAGATTTTTCAAAGATATCAAAAAGAAATTTTATATACTTTTTCATAAAAATACTGCTAATCTAAATAACCATACAACAGACATATTGTAAGAAGCAGAACCATTTCTGTTAGAGGGGAATAGTTACTAGAATGAATGCATTTTGTATTCATTTAGCATGGTTTTATCATTCTTATTGCAATAAACTTCTGGTCATCGTACTGGATAACAGGTCCCAGAAAAAGTTGAGACTGGAAGTTATATGGCATAGAGTAATATTTTAAACAGTTGCAGGATGTGAATTTATACTTAATTATTACTTTTCCAAAAAACTATAGGAGTATTATCCATTCATTCAATACTTAGTAACCAAGCCATACATAGCCTCTGGTCCACCTCATTGAAAAACAATCTTCTTTTGTAGCATTATGACATTACTGTGCCTTCCATATTTGTCTCCTGCTAAACCTCTATCTCAAAAGTTGGGCAAGAATTATTATCAAGGAGAGACACAGGACCCATTGCTAAGTCAATAAAAGTAAAGCCATATATCACAAAAGCAGACCACAAAAATCAAAGGGTCTTATTTAAGGCAAAACTCAGACTGGGAGAAATTATGAAGAGGGTCAAACAGGAAAGGTCTAATGACATTTATCCTTTCAAAAGTGACTATGCATAGATCATTAATGATCAGTGTCACTAGTAACCTTGACAATAAAGGACTTAGGACCTTAAACTAAAAGATGGTAATTTTAAAAATTGACAAAAGTATGAAAAACTACAGAAAGTATTGACACTTCAAAATAAAGTATTTCAGAGAGTCTAAACAATCATAAGAACAGTATGTCAGGGGGCTGGAGAAATGGCTTAGTTGTTAAGAGCACTGACTGTTCTTGCAGAAGACTGGGTTCCATTCCCAGCACCCACATCGTGATTAACAACCATCCAAAACTCCAGTTCTAAGGCATCTGACGCCCTCTTGTGTTCTTGACAGGCACTGTTAAGACACAGGTGCACTTACATACATGTAGCCGTAACACATAAATAAGTAAACAAATAAATAAAATTTTAAAATAATAGTATGTCAGAAACAAAAACAGGAACAAAAACAAGGCAATTGCATAAAGAAATAATATCCAAAATACAACAATAGATTGACAGACCAAAATAAAATAAGTGGTACATGTATGTGAGCATACGGTACAGAAACAGTAATCAGTATATTACCATTAAGTTCTGGCCAAAATTACATCCAGGTCAAGGTTGTACAATAAAGAAAATCTGAACAGTGTTGAGCAGACAAAAAGGAGTAACGAGAACTGGAAAACAGAGTGACAGTAAAAATTTAATAAGGCCTAAAGCCCGAGAGAAGATGGCCAACAGTTGTTCCTTATTCTTTCTGATGACAGAACAAGAGGAAATGGCCTTCAACTACTCCAAGAAGGATTCAGATTACCAAGAGATGGAGTTTTCTGACTGTGACAGTCCTTAAACACTCTAACGGGCTACTGAAGAGACATAAAGATACCTCTTGAGTTCTTTAAAAATCAAATGGAATTTATCTGCAGATGATGTGATTCTACCTTGAAGGCACAGAGACAAAGCAATGGAGGTTTCAAGGTCTGCTAAGCAGTCCATGAGTGTCAATTCAGTTCAATACAAACTGCCCCTATTATGGGTTTAATAACTATAACTCAGAAGCAAGCCAGAGAATTTCTAAACTGAGATCTGATTCCTAACAAAAGACCTATTCAGGGACATGGAATTTGAGACTTGTTATTTGAAAACAAGTAGGAAATCCAATGAACAAATACAGCGAATTAGTTCAGGATTCATATACAAGTTTCTAATATTATTTTTTATTTAAAGTACCCCAAATTAATCCTATAATGTAACTTGATTCAAAATGGAGCAAAGAGCATAATTATTGAATAATAACAGTAATAGCAAGTAAATACAGAAGCTCTGCATTAAAGCTCACTCCTTCTCCTCATCCTGTATCTCCTAATTCCTCTCTCAAGCCTTTTTATCCTTATAATTTCAAATGTAAATGGATTCATATTTGAATCTGATCATAATATTTATACATATTTAAATTTAAATATATTTTTATTACTTTATTTATTTATTTGGTCTTTTTTGAGACAGGGTCTCCCTGTAGCCCTAGCTGGCCTGGATTCACTATGGAGACCAGGCTGGCCTTGAACTCACAGAGATCTGTCTGCCTCTGCCTCCCGAGTGGATTAAAGGCATGTGCCACCACGCCCGGCATCATTTTATTTTATTCAAGATCTATGCTACTAACATCAAATTTTATTCTTATAGATGGTCCCTAGCTAATATATTTTGCAAAAAAAAAAATTGGTGGAACTAAATTTTGACAATGTACATATCAACCTTAATATATTACAATTGTTTTAGGTATTAATAAGCACACAAGTTGATGCCTGGGTTTTCTCAGATTATATCCTACTAAATATTCAACACATTTCAGAGTCATCTACTTATAGTTTCTAGGGGCATTTCCATCAGTTTGTGTTCCACTTCCTGGCACATTCTTCCTTCCATATGCAATATGGAACAGTGGTAGGGAAGAAATGACTGGAGTTTAGAGGGGCACTGTCACAATTAGAAGATGCACCAAAATCTAAGCTGTGATAAGGCCTTGCCCAAGCGCTCCAATTTTAATGTCTCTATGTTCTAAGTTTGCAGTTTCCTAACTCTGTACATTTGTGTCCTATTTCTAATATACTGAAAGACAAATTACTACTGCCATAGGGAAGTCAGAGTTTGAATGCTCTGTTCATTTTCCAAATTCTGAGACATACGGAGAGAACACTAAAAAAGCACTACTTGGCCAAGATTGAGGTGTATTTAGCTATTTTCAAATAGGCCTTTCTCTTCTCAAGGAAAGAAAAGCAAATTTGGGGAATACATGAAGCTACTAATCTGACATCTGGTATTCAAACAAGAGCCTAGAATTTGCTGAAGAGGATTCTTTCCTTCCTCTCAATTTGCAGGCTCACTCAAATGGCAACACATTGTTCACTGCCACAGAAGACATCTGAGCCAGTAGAGACAACAGAAAAGATAGGAGGAAAAAACATAACAGGCAAGTGACAGGATATGTGGCTGTGCTTTTGAACAAGCAGGAAAGGTCTTTTCAAAATAAGGCAAAAGCATTTCTGGAAAGAGTGCATCAAGCACCTGCGCTCCACTGAGTACGTGTATTGCTCACAGGGTTCCACAGCACGGCTGCACTTGTCTCTTCTGCCTCGTCTCCATTCCCTGCTGCTCTCAACTCAGGGGGAGTGGTGTGGAATACTGATGAGATAATACCTCTTTCAACTGCAGGCAGACATTTTAAAGCAATTTGTTCAAGTACAGAGTACCCAGTCTGCATTTTTGTAGGCAATTTGTGGATCAAATTTCCTATCTGACTCAGGATACTTTGAGTTTTAATATAGAAATGCAATGGTTTATCATGACTACAGTTCATCTCATTTAATTTGATTTAATTTATACATAAAATAGAAAACATACTTACACTACAAACTACAAACATCATTCAAACAATGCTCTGTAGCACAGAATATCTCATATCCATTCATATTAAATGAATAAACATTGAAGAGAAGAATGAACTGATTTTTCTATATGTCCTCCAAATACAAAAACTTTGAATCTGATTCATTTCTCTATTAAATTTGTAGAACTGGAGATAAAAATTAGTTTAGAGCTAAAAGAACAATATAAATACTTCCTTTATATAATAAGGGAAAGTCAAATATAAACAAGTGTCAAATATTTCACACTTATTTACCATAAATATTTAACATAATTAATGGGTTACATTAATGAACAAACTTTATTAAATGTTCATAAAGAACTTTGTTTAGTTAGTCTCATTCTCATATATATATATATATACACACACACATATATATATGTATATATATGGACAGTCATTAAAATCTTTAATATAAATTTCCCCATATACTTATTAATATCCATACAGAGCAACCACAATCTAAAACAAAGTCACGTGGATCTTCAAATAGGATGCATGTTCACATGCCTCAGAGCATTTACCTTGAATGAAAGCTGGAAAACATTTCCTACATGGCATATGCATATACCACATAATTCTTTTGAGCACTGCTATAATACACATAAACATATGCATATTACATATGTCTCCATGGGTATGTAAGTGTTTACAACACAGGTTGAACATCTTTTGTGTCACAGAATACTATAAACTGCATACTGGGTGAGCCTGTGTTATGATCTAGATGAAAAAAGTAATAATTGAGATGGCATGTACTATTCTTATTCATTATTTTCAAAATAAGAGGCAAATCCAGGCAAATAAAGGCTTCTGGATCTTATTCAGTTGCCACAATTCCTTCATCCTTTAAAATTGATTGTCCAAATCTCAGTCTGGAAACTGAGTGTTCAGTAGATCCAAATACATCATTTGAATTAGTTATTACTCACTGATTCCAAAGAAAGAAAAAAATTTTGGTTATTTTCATTTCATATCTTTTTGTTCATTATTAATTCTATTACTTAACCTAATTTAATCTTCCCCTATAAGTACTCCTAATTTGGATAATTAGTGGAGATTGTGCCCAGAGTCATGTGTATGCTAAGCTTCATTGTCCCACTAAGGAACATATCTAGCTGTACTACCCACATTTTTTATTAATAATATAATAATGGTCCTGATCCTCAATGCCCAATTACTTCTTACTATTCTGTTTTTTGGAACTGCCAAACAAGAGACCTGAAATGGTTAATACAAACTACCATAAACTAGTCACAAATAACTGGGTTTAACAAGGTATTATATTAAGGATAGATTTAATTTTGAAATGGCTACTCTATATATGTCATAACCTTATAAATCATTAAGAATTATAACAGTAAGAGCTCAGTATTTTCATGATGCAAGCATACTGTGTACACACCGTCCTTGAACATCGCTCCAATCTCTCAGAAGCCTTTCATTTTCTTTCAGCAGGTGCTCATTTTTGGCTTCGTTTTCTGAAATGGTGTCCAGGCAGTAGCCAATAAGTTCTCTAATGACTTCAGCTGTGTTTGCAACTTTGTCGAGGGTGACAGAACCAAGTCTGAACTAAAATAAAAGGAAAACATGATTCATTTGGTGATAATATTAAGACTGGACAGTCTAGTTTTCATCATACTTTCATCTGAGGGGAAAATGTATAAGACTAAAATACAGGAGATTTACTGAATATAACATATTGAACAGAAAACTAGGCTACTTTCTACTTTCCTATTGCATTTATTACAGAAATGAACAAATAACCTAAAAAGGATTTCTTTCATTTTTTATGAGAAAACAAAGCAGCATTCATATGATTAAGGCATATTAAACCATCTGTTTTCAAAAGCCGACATTTAGATCACTCTATTCAGAGTAAGGGAACAAGTTATACATAAATATGTTTAACCCTACATACTATTACGATGAATGCTTGTATTTATATTACAATTGTTGTAAGAATTGGTATATAAGCCACTACTGAAGAAATATCAATTCTTTCACCTCAGGAGGACTAGCTATCCCATTTCTCTCATCCACTCCCACCCTATCACCTGCCAGCCTCTTTCACAGGGGGACTCCAATTTCTTCACCTCAGGTCCCAGGACTAGCTTCCAAAACCAGATTAACTAATCAACCTACCATAGACCCCTAGGTCCTCAGCCAGGAGGTCCTCTCACTGCAAAATTCCCAGCCTCTGGATCAAGTAGACAACCTGCTCGGCCAGGATTCTGGTAAGTCAGATCCAGGTCACTGCCTCCCTACCCCATTTCTCTCATCCACCTCCACTATATCCCCTGCTGGCCTCTCTCGCAGGTGGGATCCAATCAATCCCTTAACCTCAAATCCCAGAAATAGCTTCCCAAACCAGATTAACCAATCACCCTACCATAGATCCCTAAGTCCTCACCCAGGTGGTCCCTTTACCACCAAATTCCCAATTCCCAGCCTTGAGATCAGGCAGACAGAACTGCTCAGTCAGGGCTCTGACCAGTCTACTACCCAGTAAGAACCTGAAATACCCACCAATTCGTCTTCCATACCCAAACAAAAATTAACTAAGCGACATAAACAATATTAACAGAACCAAAATTAAACTAAACACAGCAGTGCAGAAGTTCCTATTCAACACATAACCAACAAAGAACCTCCATATGCCCAAAGGGCAATGCAAAAAACACAAACAATATGAAAACCCAGGAAAATATGTCCCCAACAAAACCCATAAGTCCTACAGAAGAGCACAGCATTGAGAACCACTCTGTAGAATCCCAGGAAGAAGAATTTAAAAGAACAATCATAAAACTGATCAACAAGCTTTAAGAAAACACAGAAAAACAACTTGAAGAGGAAAGGCATAAACTTTGATGGAAGACCAAGAATATAAAAATATGTAGCTCAATGAAATATCAAAAACAATTCATGGGCCGGGCATGGTGGCACTTAAACTCAGCACTGGGGAGGCAGAGGCAGGTGGATCTCTGTGAGTTCAAGGCCAGCCTGGTCTACATAGTGAGTTCCAGGACAGCTGGGGCTACAGGAAGACCCTGCCCCAAAAGACCAAAAAAATAATAATAATTCATAACTTGAAGGGTTAATTCACTGAGGAGGTGGATATAGTGAAAAGAACCCAAATGGAAAGAAACACAGGATTGAAAGACTCAATAAACCAATTAGAAACAATGGGAGAAAGCAGAATGAATGAAATGGAAAACAAAATATCAACACTGAAGGATAAAGTTGAAGATCTGGACTCTTTAAGCAAAGACTACACAAAATTAAAAAAAAAAAAAAACCACAGGAATGGAATACTCAAGAAATGTGGGACAATAATAAACGACCAAATCTACCTATTATAGGCATACAGGAAGGAGAAGAAACTCAAACCAATGGCATCGAACAGATCTTCAATAGTATTATAGAAGAAAACTTCCCTAAATTAAGGAACTACATACCTATAGAGATTCAAGAAACATGGAGAAGAAAATTAAGACATGTTCAGAACAGAAGGACCCCACTGCATATCACAGTAAAAACATAACATGTGCAGAACAAAGAGAGGGTACTGAAAGCTGCTAGAGAAAAACAACAAGTTACATATAGAGGAAAACCCATCAGAATTACAGCTGACTTTTCAAAGCAAAGTTTGAAAGCCAGAAGAGCCTGGAACAAAGTATTCCCAGTTCTAAACAACCATGCCAACCTTGAATACTTTACCCAGTAAAACTAGCTATCAAGGTCAAAGGGGAATAGAAAATATTCCAGGACACAAATAGGCTGAAAGAATTCATCTTCCAAACCAGCACTACAGAGAATACTTGAAGAAATACAAAGAAAAGAAGAAAGGAATGAGTACAGGCAAGAGGCTACAGAAAGAAAACAGAGAGAGGCATAACAAGGGAAACACAAAATAGGGCCACAAACACAATAAATTAAAATCACAGTATACAATACACACACCTTTCAATAATAACACTAAATATCAAAGGCCTCAACACCCCTGTCAAAAGACACAGGTTGCTGCAATGGATCAAGAAAGAAAACCCATCTTTTTGTTGTCTTTAAGAAACTCATCAAACCTTCAAGGATAGACACTATCTTAGGGTGAAAGGATGGAAAAAATACTCTAAGGAAATGGCCCTAAGAAGCAAGCAGGTACTGCAATTTTAATATCTGACAAAATAGACTTCAAATTAAAACTCATTAGAAGAGATAAGGAGGGCTACTTCATTCTAATCAAAGGAACAATTGACCAAGAAGATATTACAATTATGAAAATATATGCACCAAACTCTGGAGCACCAATTTCATAAAATCAGTAGTCCAGAACTATGAAACACCAATTAAGTGATAGTGGGTGACATTAACACCCCACTGTCTTCAATAGACAGGTCAACTGACAAAGAATAAACAGAGAGACATCTGAATTATATGACATACTACATCAAATGGACCTACCAGATATATAAAAAATATTGCACCCAACCAACAAAGAATATACTTTCTACTCAGCAAATCTCAATAAATACAAAAGATTGAAATAATTCCATGCCTTCTATCAGAATACAGTATAATAAAGCTTATAATCAACAGCGGGGAAAAAAAAGCACTAGCAAACACACAAAATCCTGGAGATTAAACAATGCACTAGTGCATCATGAATGGGTCAAAGAAGAAACTAAGAAAGAATTAAAATTATTACTGGAACACAATGAAAACAAGAACGTAACACACCAAAATCTCTGGGATACCCTAAAAGCAGACCTAAGAGGGAAGTTTATAGCTCTTAGTGCCTACATTAAAAAAATCAGAAAGAGCACATGTAAATGACTTGACCATACAATTCAAGACTCTGGAAAGATAAGAACAAAACAATCCCAAACCTAGTAGATGAGAAGAAATAACAGAACTCGAGCAGAAATTAATGAAATAGAAACAAAGAAAACAATACAAAAAAAAAAAAAAAACTCTAAGAGCTCTTTCTTTGAAAGGTTAAACAAGATAGACAGACCCTTAGCCCAGTTAATCAAAAGAAAAAAAAAAAAGTAAATCCAAATCAGCAAATCAGAGAAAACATCACAACAGACACCAAAAAGATCCAAAACATTGCAAGGGACTACTTTAAAAATCTATATTCCATTAAATTTGAAAACCTAAAAGAAATGGATTAATTTCTAAAATGAAGGCCACCACAAAAGTTAAACCAACAGATCAGCAGCCTAAACAGAGCCATAACAAATAAGGAAATTGAAACAAATACAAAACCCCCTGACTGAAAAAAGCCCAAGCCCAGATGGATTCACAGCAGAATTCTAACAGACACTGAAAGAAAATCTACAACCAATACTATTTAAATTATTCAAAAATATAGAAATAAGGAGAACTCCCAAACTCCTAAAAATTATGAAGCGAGTATCACTCTAATGCCAAATCCAGGTAAAGACATAACAATAAAAGAAAACTATAGACCCATACCCTTAATGAACATAGATGCAAAGATTTTCAACAAAATATTTGTAAAACACATACAGACACACATCAAAAAGATCATCCACTATGAATGAGTTGGCTTTATTCCAGAGATGCAAGGATGGTTCAACATACATAAGTCAATAAATGTAATAAAACATATAAATGGACTTTAAGACAAAAACAGCATGATATCTCAATGGATGCAGAAAAGGCATTTGTCAAAATCCCACATGCATTCATGTTAAAATTCCTAGAAGGAATTTGTCTAGAGGGAATATACCCCAACATAATTAAAGCTTTCTACAACAAACCCATAGCCAACATCATCCTAAATGGAGAAAAACTGGAAGCATTCCCATTAAAATCAGAAACCAGACAAGGCTGACCACTGTCTCCACTCCTTTTCAATATAGTACTTGAAACTCTTGCAAGAGCACTAAGACAAGACAAGGAAATTAAAGGAGTACCAACTGGAAAAAAAAGAGGTCAAATTATCCCTATTTGCATATGATATGATATTATACATAAGACATCCCCAAAATTCCATTAGAAAAGTGTTGGAATTGATTAATACTTCCAGTAAAGTGGCAGGATACAAAATCCACCTACAAAAATCAGTAGCCTTTCTATACACTAATAAGAGGCAATCAGAAAAAGCACTAGAGGAAACCCTCCCATTCTTCATAGCCTTGAAAAACTAAAATATTTAGGAATAAACCTAACCAAAGACATTAAAGATCTCTACAATGAAAATTTCAAAATTCTAAAGAAAGGGGTAGAGAAAGACACCACGAGATGGAAAGACCTACCATGCTCATGGATTGCTAGAATCAATATTGTGAAAATGACCATCTTAACAAAAGCAAATCATAGATTCAAAGCAATTCCAATCAAAATACCCACAACATTCTTCACAGAGCTTGACAAAATGATTTTAAAATTCATAGTAATAATCAGATATTTAGAGATTAGAAATGCATGTGCAAACATCC